ATATTATTAAAAAAAATAACTTACGCTAACAATATGTCCACCAAGACCATGAGCAGCATCAGCACATTCAAGAATACATGATAATTGAGGATAACCAACACCAGTCTTTAAACGTGTTGTACAAACGCTACCTAATTTAAAATCTTTAATAATAAATTATATGAATTAATTTATCTAACCTGGTCCAATACCACATTTAACAATATCAGCTCCACTTAAAATAAGTTCTTCAACCATTTCACATGTAACAACATTTCCTGCCTTTAAAAAAAAACAGAATCACATTAAATATTAAATAAAAATCGAAAATTTCCATACAAATATTGTTTTATCAGGAAATTCTTTTCGAACAAATCGAACAAATTCAACAAAATGTTCTGAATAACCATTAGCAACATCAACACATATATATTCAAGTTCTGGTATTGCATCCATAACGTCACTAAAATAAAATAAAAGACAAACACAACCTAGAAAAACTTATTCATTAATTTTAAAACATACCGTAATTTTTTAAAATCATTTTCTGTCATACCAGTTGATATTGCTACATTCTAAAAAAAACACAATTAGAAATTAATTTATAAAATATCATTTTTTATGTTCTTACAGGAAGTACATCCTTATGTTCCTTAGCAAATTCTTTCCATTGTTCAACTGTATAATGTTTATGAATAGTTGTAAATAATTGTAACTAGAAAAATGAAAAAAAGCGTCTTTTTTTTTATTTTTGAAAAAAATAAAAACTAATACTTTTGATAATTGTATTGCCATTTCAAATGTTCCAACAGTATCCATATTTGATGCAACTATTGGAATGCCTTGATAGGTTTTTTTGCTATTACGAAATATAAATTCACGTGTTAAATCAACATCTGCTCGACTTTTTAATGTTGAACGTTTTGGACGAATAAGAACGTCTTTAAAATCAAGTTTTACATTATTATCGATAAGAGGCATTTTTTTAAAATGTGTTTTATCTAGAACTTAAATTTTTATACTATATACTTCAACATTCCTTTTAAATTGTGTTTCATAAAATGCTTGAAATTATGAATAATATGTTATTTTTATAAGATTTCCATCAAGTTTATTCTTAAGATTATAGAATACGATCCAATATTTATCGAAGAAATCGAACAGAATAAAAGATTTTGATTTTAACTTACAGGTCATTCTAATAGAAATGTGAACAATTTGTTTACCAAAATTCATTAGTTCCTATTAATTGCGTAACCAAGGAAGGAGACTGATGCGAAAAGTCTCTCTACTAATTATTCTTGACTCGGGATTAAGTGCATCACGTAGATCATAATAAGCTATGAGTACCCTGAAAACCATTCGGACCTTTAGCTAGAGACCTGCGGAGTCAACTTTTTTCATTCCGAAACCCGACTCCGATTCCGAAATCTTTCTTTTTATGACTCCGATTCCGAAAATTTTTATTTTTTGACTCCGATTCCAACTCCGAAAAACTTCGACATTTTTTAACAATGTCATTTAAAAATAAAACGTTCTCAGCAGCCAAAGGACTCTTTAATGACTTAACATGCGCACGTCCTACACTAAAAATCTCAAGTTTCTCTTTAAAAAAAAAC